CCCCTCTCCGCTCTGCTCCCCCAGGGACAGTGCAGCCATCCCACTGCACGTTCACTCAGCAGGAGCGTGGAACCCGGGAAGTTTTAACTTGGGAAAAAGGCACAGCCTGGAGTGAAGCCCCGCCAGGGTGTTGAGGAGCCCCTCACACACCAGGGCCACCTAACAATAAGGGAAGCCAAGCAGCCACCACCGAGACACCAGCCATTCCACTGAGACACCAGCCAGGGATGGGTGCAACAGGAACCACTCGTCCCACGCTGCTCATGAGCCCAGCAGCGAGTCAGCCCCCCCCGGCAGCTCAGGCCTGTGCCACCCTGGGTACCGGCATCCCCAAATCCCCCCGGGAAGCAGGACTGTCTCCCCTCCTGCATTGCTCCAGCAAGACAATGATGCCTGAGAGTCACTCCCCTCTCGGTGCACCCAGACCCTCTCTTTCCCCCTGTTCAATCAAAGATTCATCGCCTCTGCTGCTGAACAACAGATCAACACGCTGCCAGGAGGGCAACAGCTCCTCCGCGCTTGCCGAAGCCGTCAGGAGAGGGGCTGGGGCAGGCAGGCCAGCAGGACGGCACAGCAGGGGCTGCCTGCTGAGCCCCTTGGGACGTACAGGCAGGCAGAACAGGCAGGGCGCTTCGAAGGACGGCAGCAGGCTGGGATGAGGCAGAGCACATCAGGGAAGGTGCCCTCCCGTGGCACTGGGGCTCAGCGGGTGATGCACCCGGATGCTGCCGGACAGACTCAGCTCCAGGAAAATGAGCACCTGAGGCTCTGGGCAGAGCCACGCGCTTAAAAACCCATCTGCGTTCACGCCAGCAAGCCCGTGTCGAGAGGCTGCTTTTGTCTGCTTTCACCTTCCACACGCCGCAACGGGGTCACGTCGGAGAGCACGCTGCTGAGAGCAAGCCGGGAGCGAGGGCCTGCTGAGCACCGCGCTGATGCCAAAGCCCTGGAAAATAATTAAGTACAAAACAGCTAATCGTGATTGACACTGGCCCCCTGGAGACCCATCAGCCGCCTTCCAAAAATGCTTCCTGTCTTTCCGATGACCCTGATGACAGCGAAGAAGGGATGGAATTAGTGAGGAGGCAGCCACAGCCCCCGGCCCCTTCCTTGCATGTCGAGTTTGTCCGTCCCCAGTGGAGCTGCCAGCTCCCTGCCCTCCTCACAGAGCGGCAGCAGCAAGCAGAGACCCCGGACCACGTCCTGCAGCCTTTACGGCCATCGGCTTTGCTCAGAGCTGCAGGCACACAGCACCTCGCGGTGAGAGCTCAGGAGCAAGGAGGACAGCAGACGACAGCCTAAATGGAGAGATGCTGTCCAAGGTCAGGAGGCTCAAGAAAACAATTCCAAGCTGTCTTTGCAAATCCAAGTCGCTCGGTTCCGCCTGGCACCAGCCAGACCGATGGGCAAGGAGAATCACAGAACCATAGGGGCTGGAAGGGACCTCTGTGGATCATTCGGTCCAACCCCTGCCAAAGCAAGGGAACTGGCAGCGCCTGCCGCTGGGAACTCCTGAAGTCTTGAATTCAAGGAAAGAGTAATACAGCTGCTGGTGGGGGTTTCATGAGTCATGACCGAAAGGTGCTGCGTCCACACAAAGCATTACTAAATATGACGCTCGCTCTGAAATGGCACGCTCAGTGCTGTTATTTCAGTATTTTGTGAGAGGGGTGGAAGAGTGGGCTTCATCTGCTGCAACATCAGGAGCGAGAGCCGGAGGCTGCCGCGGGTAGAGCACCCTCAGCTGCCTCAGGGGGAGGAAAGGGGACTCAGCACCTCCCCCAGTCCACCCCCTTGCCCTGCGAGGCAGCAGGGTGCCAGGGCCCCGCATTTGCACTGCTCTGGCACAGCCAGAGAGGCTGAGTGCCATCAGCAGGGATCACCACCCTCTCCCACCCTCCCCAGGGCATCCCAGCGCTGCCTGAGCCTCTGTCAGGGCAGGACCGCTTGAAACACTGGCAGAGCTGACGTGGATCACGAAATAACCCAAATCCATGCAATCGGGGTTGATGGGGGACAGCACTGAAAAGCAGACGGGGACTTTGCTGCACCCACCCTCCAGCCGGCAGAGGAAAGCTCGAAAGTTGTCACAGACAACCCTGGATCTGCAGGGTCACGAAGATCTTATGACCATCATGCCTGTTGAAGATGTCTCCCTTGAGCGGCTCCCCAAGGAAGCAGGGAGTAATAAAGGACGAGAAAAGAGATTGTGGCTTTCTTTACCTCCAACTTGGAGATGGTTGCACAGATCCCAGCACAGAAAATACTTGGGAAGGGAGAACCAGTCTCAGTCCATAAGCTGTCCTCTTCAAGGCATCTCCTTCAAGGCATCTCCAGCAGCCGGGCAGAGCGGCTGGGCAGAGCAGCTATCTGCTGGCTGCCCCCTCCAGCAAGATCTTCTCTTGTACCGAGGCTCAGAAAACCCACGCAGGACTTCAGCAGCGAGACACAGAGCCCGAGGAGGCCCGCTGCTGCCTCCCACCTCGCCTCCCGGCTTGCTGAGCCAGAGGCAGCCCGAGGGTCACTCAACCGCTGCAGATGCGGCAGCAAACCAAATCCCTGGCATGAACAGCTCTGCAGCAGCAGGACAAGGATGATGCCACCCTCCCCATGTGACAGCAGTTGTGCTGGCCCAGGGCACTGTTACATTACAGGGATGCAGGACATCATGGGGACCTCCGAGATCCTCAGGCAGGAGCAGCACAAGCAGCCCAAAGGTTTGCCATGTCCTCAGCCCCCTCCAACAGCTGGAGCAAGGATGTGAAGCCCCACCAGACCTGGTTCTGCTGCCATGCCCAGCAGTGATTGCGATCACAGTGCAACATCCAAGCTCAACTCATTAGTCGTAGAGGCAAGGCCAACCTCTCACAGCTATTATTATTTTAAGCTGGTTTTGTGCAGACTCAGCAGATGACACTGCATCAGACTGCACCTACAAAAGCTCATCTGTGCGACTGGGAGGGGAGGGCTGGTGGAGGAGCTGCCAAGAGCTGCTGCCGGGGAGCCTGGCCTGGGGCAGGGGTCTCTCACATGAGAATGTCCAGCATCATTTGCTGTCTAAAGTTGGAAAAACCTTGCCAGTCCTTCTTCCAGCAGGACAAGGGACCCCCACCGCGGGCGCGCTGGCAGTGGTGTCCCAGGCAAAGCACCAAGACAGCCGGGACGCAGGGCAGCGGCTGCACCGAGCCCCCCCGGGCTGCGCCGCGGG